ATTTTGTTAAAATGTTTGAAAGCAACCAACCAGAATAATTTAATTTAAACAGTTTCCAATTTGGTTAAAATGTTTGAAAGTAACCAACCAGAATAATTTAATTTAAACAGTTTCCAATTTGGTTAAAATGTTTGAAAGTAACCAATTAGAATAATTTAATTTAAACAGTTTCCAATTTTGTTAAAATGTTTGAAAGCAACCAACCAGAATAATTTAATTTAAACAGTTTCCAATTTTGTTAAAATGTTTGAAAGTAACCAACCAGAATAATTTAATTTAAACAGTTTCCAATTTTGTTAAAATGTTTGAAAGTAACCAAGCAGAATAATTTAACTTAAACAGTTTCCAACCAGAATTTTCTGACCATTTTTTGGCTTCAAAGCGGTACATTACATCCTTCTTTTATACACTGGATTTAGACTAAGTTGTAATTTTAAACTCAGATAATTACCATTTTCTCTGAGAAAATACAAATCTAGGACACGTTATGAAACTGACCATTTACAGTTTCAGCACAAGAGATAACCACACGAGTCGTTCTGGTGATTGGTTAAATAATTACACGTGATTATTTCAGGAAAGTTTTGACTAATTACCAAGCCAGATTGTGGTTTCTCGCGAAAGCTTTATTTATTGAGATTTTTCAACCCGTTATCATGTGACTCATTAGGGATTACATAGATAATGAAATTCTGATTACTAATGGTTTGATATCACTGAAATACACGAACGTTCTTTTTTTTTAATGCAAAGATTAAACAAGGCTTAATTAGTAAACATGGAGCGTCCATTTGAAAATAAGTAAGTTCTCAGAGTGTTGAATAATAAAAATAAGATACATTTTTTATGTAACGACGTCAATTATTCATTTTTTTTTATATTCATAACATTCTAAATAACTTTAACCACAAAGCTTATTTTATAGAGAAATAGGTACCGGATCCCTATTGACGGATGTGGGAGAAGAGGTGGGGATTTTCACATCCTGCAGAAATTATACACTGGTTCGCTAGATAGATGCACTTTTACTTACTAAAGTTTCCAAATAAATCATCGTTCCGTTAAGAGAATATTTAGGATTATTTAGCTATGCCACTACAATAATACTCAACACAGAGATATACGGATAATGATATTGCAGATGTATGTACCACATCTTTCAACTTAAACAGTTTGTATGTAATGATGCTCTAACTGTTGACACGTCTAACACAATGCTTGACGTCTAGAGTCTATGTGTAATGACACTCTAAGTTTCATTAGAGCTGAACTATGTTCATTATATTCTGCGACCATTATTGGGCATAGATTTAATAAAATAAGTAAAAACAGACAACGTTTAAATATCCATAATAACTTATTGTATACGTTAAAAGTAAAATAGATATAATTATAAACTCTATACTATTCTGGTATCCGGAAGATGCGGAACGTTAAACTTATACAATAAATTATTGTGCATTTTTAAACGTTGAATGTTTTAACTTATTTTTGAGCTATGTTATACTTGAAGATTCTCACCACTAAATTAGGAACTTATAAAAACTAAAACGTCATCTTACCTTTATCCATGAGTTTCTCCGCTGGTCTGAGCGTAGTGGCTGATATGACAACCGGTTCACTACGACCTTTTGGATTAGCGGCAAAGACAAGAAGTCTCAGAGCAGTTCCAGCGGGAAGTTCTTTAACCAGAAACATTGGTACTGGGGAGGTTATGTTAGCCTGCAATGTACCGTGACCCACGCTGAACACCTCCAGAATGAAATTAGCATTCAATCCTCCGTTGTCCCCTTCCACACATTCCAAATATATCAGGTTTTCTGTTTGATTCAAAACCGAACAGTTGTGTGGAGACTCTGGAGGACCTAGGAGGTCATTCAATAGAGTTGTTATAGTATGGTGAGAACCATGCTTAAAGTTCTAGGAAAGTATATCTAAAAGCAATTTAAAAGTTTTAATGTATCGCTTTATCATAAATCATACAAATATACAGTGTTAATTTTCGTCTATTTCCATTCAAGTCACGTAAACACAAGTTCTTTAGGTTAACATTTAAGTTGATTGAAATATGAAATATATTTATTCATAATGAATAACAAATATCATACCATTAAGGCAGAAAATATCGCTAACGGCAAATGTGTCCAACTGATGCAACAATTCACTCTAATCATTCTAAGACAAATATTAAATTAGCTATATTAAATTTTAGTTCTGATCTATGTAGGTAGCTTGTTTTAATTCTGTTGTTGTTTTATTTTACGTGATCTATAATATGAATATCTATAATATCTTGTCCTTTATTTACACTTTTTGGTTTGGCACTGGAGAAGTCTTCTCTGGTAGATGGTTGAGCGAAGCCATTGTTGCCTTTTCCCCTGATGATACTTTGGAAGTGGTTTCGATATGAACCTCAGGCCCTTTCCCAGGCTTTCGTACCTTTACCAAATTCGTCTTTGAAGATAACCATTTCGCCGTTTTCCTGCCGACATACTTTCAAAGACGATTACAATAGATGATATTTGGTTTGGCCCACCCGGATTTCTAGATTCTGCTCTGCTAAATTTTATGTTGGTTGTCTTTATTATCACATGCTTCCATCCTTGTTGTTACTGGAAGCTCAACTTCTGATAGTGTTACTGGCTTGTAGTGCGTGGAGATTTCCTGATTATAGATTACAAATCTATTTGAAGCAAATCTAACATCATATCTGTGTTTTTATATGAAGCCAATTCCCTAGATAAACTCTTCATAAATGTCAGTTATTCACACACTATTTCGTGTAGAAAAACTCCCTATCATGATGATGACTTTCAACTTTCCTCTTGCTGGAAATTTATGACCACTTGCTGCTTGAATCAATCCATCCTCTTGCTTCATCTCTGGAGGCAATTTCACACCTTTCATTACTAGATCAAATAGAACAATTATAGTTGTAAAATGAGAATCAATCAAAATGTTGCAATACTTTCCATCAATGAATCCTTTGATTCACGGATTGATTTCTTTCAGTAATGCACTCTTTGTCTCAACTGGATCGGTTTCCTTTTCTTTTTTTTTGTTTGCAGTTAATGGCAATATGTCCTTTTACGTCACAATTGTAAACACCTCCAGTTCTCTGATTTACTTCTTTTCTTCTGAGTTAACAGTTGTATAATTACCCTTGTAGACTTTCATGAGAGAGAGTTGATGTTTCCATTCTATTTGATCTAATTATTTCATAGTTCCTGGATGGTAAAATTTATTGTTTACCTGCATTCAGGGTTCGTCACTAATGTGAAAGTTTCCTTTCAAAATGAACACGTATTTAGTTTTAGCATACTTCAGTTCACATATCCTCATCCACTTTGACATCTGAATATTGGTCGCATGCCAACAAATCCGTCACCTAACATGAAGCATCTTGACAAAAGTAATCTGGCAAGCCTTTCTAGATCCTCAGAAGTTTAGCTAAGTTCTCATCGTTCATCTTAAACATTTAGAAAAATCCTTCTAATGTAATACTCCAAATCGGTTTGGTAGGACAACCATCTGGACCTTTTAAATGTGCAGTAAGATTACAAGCATTTTATTCACTACTCGATCCATTCACATAGGAAGTTATTTCAAACTGCACCTGATATGTCTTCCATAATAATTTTACACCCTAATCTGTTCGTCTTTTGATTGGGCGATATTATTGAACTGGTTTGCTAAATTTCATACTTGGATGAAATAATGGTGTAACTGGAGTATTCAAAAAACATTCTATAGTCATAGGTGGGAAAACATTAGTAGTAAGAGGTGCAGATCACATGGATTCTTCGATTCCATATTGTAGAGTTAATAGTGTTTGTTACTGAAATTCTTGAGCGAATGCAAAGGTGTGCGTGTGTGTGTGGTTGGTTTGATTCTTGCATCTTGGAGTTCAGTTTCCAAATGTTTTAGCCTGGTGTTGATATTCATTTATACGTCTTTTATCTTTTTTAAATTATTATGTAATTTATTGGTATTATATATTGTTTCTTCGATTTTTTAAATCCTTTTGCACACTATGGATGTATTTTTGTATTTTCAGTTTCGTTCTTATATTCCTTGTGCACATTTCCTATGGCTTCTTCAACTCTTATCTGTTCGTTATCTATTACTTCTTCAATATTGTCTTTGGTCAATATTTCTTTTATTTGTAAATCTTATGTCTTACTCTTGTAAGTTATCTCATAATTTTTGGCTCTATTTTTTTATCTTGTTTTTTACTGTTTCGTCATTTTCATTAAATTTTAGATCTCGCTTCGAAGACGTGTCGTCATTTTGATGTTCATTCTGGATTTTATTTTTACCTAAATAATCCCACTTCTGACACAAGTGTTGTAACATTTTCTGTTGTTAGGCAGGTACTTTTGGATTATTCAGTAGAGAATAATAAAAAGTCCAGTCCACTTACTGAATGCAAAAGCGTTTCATTTTTTCAACCACAAGTTCTACAACTTAACTCAACTAACGCTCACTAATAAGTTTCAAGTTGATGCTAAATGATGAAAAATTGACTCACTTGCTAACATCTCTTGTATCTGTAGTATTGTAGATTGTCGGTTATTAGAGCAAAGTCACATCGCACTATCTGTTGTGTCCACTGTGGGAAATCTAACCTCGGATTTTAGCAATGTAAATCTGTAAGCTTACCGCTGACCCACCGGGAGACTTAACTGCTAAGTCTGAAGGATTTTAATGCTGAAAATCAGATTTTGATACCCGCGATGGGCGAAACACAGAAAGCCCTTTGCGTAACTTTATGTTTAAAACAAATAAACAAACACAATCATTGATACAGAAACTTAGTGTTTACGAAATTGAAATAAGAGACGAACTAACTTAAAAGTTCTATATTTCATTGATTAATCCACTATTGTAACAACCTCGCTAAACAAATTTTACAATCTTTTCTCTAGTCTTACCTAATTAACGTTTTATATCGTACATATCGTTTCTTTAATTTGAAAAAAAGTTCTAGTCATCATGTTTATTCTTAATATACATGATTGTTGAGGAAACGCTGATAAAATAGCAAACACAAAACAAATACAACGTTCTACGTGGTAATCTGTAAAGTTAAATTAATTTGACCTACAGTCTTAAGCAAACAGCGATCTCTTTCAAAACTCCACATTACTGAATACCTCATTCACCTATGGAAAGAAAAATCTATTAAGATATTTGTATTAAGTAAAAACTACTGACCAGAAAGAAGGCAGCCAGTCAGCAACATCGTACCTCCTTCCATTCACGTTACGGGATTGACTGTCATTTGTTTTACGCACCTATAGCAAGGATTCGAACGTGGCTCACCAGCTCCGAAATACAAAGTTTTACCACAAAGCTAAAACGTGTCCCGTTTTTTAAATAACCACAATTCTAAACAAAGTAGACAAATACTAGGGTTCCCAGACGGGACAGTAGTAAGTCTACGGACTTACATCGCTACAATCTGAGGTTCGGTTTCCCGCGGTGGACACAACAGGTGGCATAATGTGGATTTGCTCAGAAATAAATAAACAAACAAACACTAGGGCTAAGAGACTATTTTAATGAAAATCTATATCTATAAATGTTTGAATACTACATAAAAATCATAAGAGCAAGAAAGACGTTACAAGAATGGATTTATTGTCTTTGAGAGCTCAACTACACTTCGGTTATTATTTTCTAGCGAATCCTATTTGTAAATGTTAAAATAAACGTACCTTGATAACCTTATTTCACTTTTGTTCAGTTTTGTAGTATAGAAATATTACATAACTGTGGACACGTTTTTCTTCGATTTTGTTGTAAGTGAATATGCCTTATTAAAAGAGACACTGCTAAAAAGTGAAATACTGAAGATAAATTGACCGAGTTAAGTAAATACACTTTACATGCGTATGAAGCACTTTAATAAATGTCTATGAAGAGTCGATGGGGTAATTTTTGTTTGTATATTCACGTTCATTCCTCTCTGATAAGCACCAAAGAGATTCCAAGTGTATAAATCAAGTGATATAGTTAGCAACAAAATTGATATAATTGTTACTAAATTGATAATGATAGCAAATCCAACAGTAAAGATATACCGTTTCTCAGAGTTATGTGATAGTTTTCAGTCATGCTGTTAGTTATTACGTAATATTACTGGGCAATAAAAGATATTAGTAATTTTTAAAGTCACGCAATTAATTATTATATAATACTATAGGCTAAGGAAAAAATACTGATAGTTTTGAAAGTCATCGATTGTTATCATGTAATAGAAATGGCTAAGGAAATGATGCTGACAGCTTCCAAAGTCATGATGCTAGTTGCTATCTGATACTAATGGCTAATAAAATGATATGAATAGTTTCCAAAACCCATGCTGTTAAGAACTAAGTAATACTAATAATAACGATGGAAATGACATTGTTAGTTTTAAAGTTCATGATATTAGTTACCCTGTAATACTAATGGCTAGGGAAAAATAGATACTTTTGAAAATCATTATGTTAGTTACTATATAACAGTAATGGCTAAGGAAGATATCGGTAGTTATCAGCCATGCTATTAGTTTCTAGGAGATAATAATAACTAAGGAAGTGATATTGTTTTGAAAGAAATAATGACATTCTCTAAGTAGTGCTGACGGTAACGAAAATAATTTTTATAGCCCCTGTGGTCTTGTTAGAACGCTCAATACAATTATTTATAATGGTTTAGTAAATAATATCGTCCCTAGTTGTAAAGTATAAGACTGTAATAAATGATGTGTATCTACAATAAAATACGTAGTGTTTAGGTGTTTAACGTGATGTGCATTTATTTCTACACATGCAAGAGTACCCATCCCGAGTGAAGGAAAAGTTTAAGTTAATCTATC